CCATATCTTCAACAACTGGATCTCCATGTTACGCTACTATGGATGTGCTCAAGCAGATGACTGACTTTCATTTACTTTCTGAGCTGCTTTCTGATGTACGTCATTCAGCTACCATCAAAGCAAAGAGTTGCCGCGGTCTTTTTCACATTCATAAAAATGCTCAAGCGGTAGAAATGTGTTTTTGAGATCCTATGCCTTTTTGGATCGTTACATTCATGTTGCAGATGCTGTTGATCTAAAAATCACTAAACTGATTGGCGACAGTTTATCCTTTGAATGTAGATTTATCACTTCGATACGCATCGTGTTCACATCGTTGACTTTCTTATCGGCATTGTAAAGCGATAAGTTTCCAGGAGCTTTTGCGTGAATGGTTTTTCTTCGAGTTCGCATTGAGCTTGTCGCTGTGTAAATCATATTGCGGTATGAACAAAGCACTGCTTTCTCGACGCTTGAAAATCACCCACCTCAAACTCGCTTAGTTCTTGTTTTTGCCTATTCCCGAAGTTAGCAATAACTCGCAGTTCTCGTGTCGGTCAATTGGTTTGCCATGAATGGCCAACAAAAAATCGAGTCAATACACCTTTCGGCTGACGGGCTGTACTAGAAGCACCCTGGCTGCTGCTGCTTCAGGCATCCTCAAGCCAAAACCGTTGTCGTCCTCTTAGGTGAGAACTCTTGACGTCTTTTCGTGCATGTCGTGCATTTCCGCTTACGCGATCTTTTCTCCCCGATGCACGGCAAAGTCGAATGCGGCGGACCTCGGAATTCTACTCCGATCCTATTCCACCTCATGTATCCCAATCCTCTCCAGTAATTCGGCATATTTATGAATTTTATATTGAGTTGTGTGCTGCGCTGTGTAGAATTGTGCTGTATTTTTTACCCGCGCTAGGAGGTTCATCATTGGATGGATCCACAAGGCTTGTTTATGTGATGATGTAGTGTGGTGAGTGCTACACAAATTGAATTCAAAACTTGACCGCGACTCATAATATAGTCATATTGCTCCATATAGTGGGCCTAGTAACAGCAGCTGTATAGCCAGTTCTGACATTTTAGTTCCGTTGACGATGCTTGACATTGTTAGCTATTAGGTCCTCTATTACTGCTTAACTTTGGCTTCCACAGTTGTCTAGGCTTTTCTAAACACTAAGAAGCTGCACAAGGGTGGCAGACTTGCTTTGATCCGCTCCATTAGGCTAGCATGCAACGCAGCGTGTGCTGTTTCTCAGCTATTTTCTCCAGGTATATATCACTGAAACAAATATGAACTTCCCATTGTTTCTTACCTTTTTTTGTCACATGCGAACAGCTGCTGCCTCGGCTGTGTTAGTAGAGCTCCAGAATTTTCACGACATGTCTCTTCGCAATTTCTGCTACTGCAACTTATACATAATTCAAATATACCATTACGTACTAAAGTGATGTCCAATTAATTTCGTTATTGTACAGAACAGCGGCGGTACTCTAAGAGGCCTCGAGAACAGCATCAGAATTGACAGCTGACTAATTGCATTACTGCTTTCAGTCATAAGTTAACTCGTACGCGTTCCTCATTGAATTTCTCATGTGTAACTGCCGTTGTCGGCGTTCGTCGTTTAGGTGTCGTGGCCATGGAAGGCTTCCATGCTTTTTCGTTCGTAGCAAATTTCAACCGCATGTTTTTACGCATAGTTAAACTTCTCACTATGTAACGCACTGCCTCTTCAGATTTATGCAAGTTTTGCCCTTTTGCTGACTTTATCTTCCACATCCATTCTGATGATTGTTTTCACTTGAGTTTCTCTTTTAGTGCCCTATCATCCAGTACTATTCAGCGAGAGAGTATAAGCACAATACAAGTGATTTTTCGTCAACTTTCACAACTGCAGTTCTGAGATCTCAAAGTTGGCGTCAAACATCGGCATAACACGAAGTAATATGTGCACTTTCCTGAGAAAATTATCAGGCATCCGCATATCTCTTCAATTCTCGTTACAAATTCGCAAAAGCTAGAATGTCTGAAATCAGATTAGCTAATGGACAGTTCTCATCATTGAGGTGACACTAACGTATTCTCCTGTTGATAACAACATATTTTGGTTACATAGTTCCCTAAAACTTCGTGGATTGAAAGCACACCACAAATCATTGCCTCGGTTAAATTCGAAGTGGCTTCCTGCGATAACGTGGCGATATTTTTCTATTGAGAGTCGCTTGGTGAATGTTTCCGTCTATCCTATTTCTATCTATTCGATTAGTGCAAAACAACATCGGAACCAATGTGATAATGCTTGAGCACTGGTCGCGAGCACCAAAAGCGGCAATGTAGACGCGCGAAATCCTCCCAAACCGTAAATTCGAGTGAAGATGACAAATTGACAAGAAAGACAAACGGCACAATGCCGTCTTGAAAGCGTTTTTATCGCACGATTAGACGTGCGAAGAAAAGGGGCAGATCTGCACAGCATTTTAATTGCGTTCTATCTACCCTAACCTAACCAGCCGACTGCTGAGCTCAATCAAACGCATCTCTAGCAACCTTATCTCCACTATGCAAATGCACCTACACTAAGAGGAAATTGCTCGCATCGCTAGATTGAACGCGAAGATGCTCAGCTCAGTTGCAGTCATGTCACTTCTTTCCCTTTGAAAAAGCTGATTGCGTAGGTCTGTCTCCATAATCGCCGTGATCTGAAGTCGAGTATTAGTGGGTCGGAGCTGGCTTTGGTATCGAGCATAGATATGTCATAGATATGTGCATATATGCATTTATATATCAATGACATGTATGTTCTACATTACATTGTACATCTCCATATATACATGTATATATACTATACAACTGATACATCAGCATGCACGCTAACCAAGTTATGCCCAAAAAATCAGGTTTATTGCGCCTTTCCTCATAAAAATCAAATCTTCTCGTCTTTAACATGGCTGAGCCACAGTTTGCACTGATACATGTTTTTTCAGGGCACCAAATCAGAGACCCACAATCTCCAGTTCTGGTGAGTATCTTTGATTGGTTTGTAAGCACACTTATCTTACTATATCAGCTCACAACGACTTGGATACGAATGATAGTGTATAAGATGGAGGATGTATAAATTTCATTGATACTTTATCATTTCGTAGACGATTAGCCTTGATTTGCATTTTCAAGGAAAAAAAATAATCATACGTTCTTCATTTAGTTTCCATTGTTGCTCGCAAGTTTCAAACACGCTGATCTCTCATTGCACCCATCTATCTATCTTGCACACCATCGAAACCGTACATATTACTTGGCTGCTCCTCCTTGCTTTTTGTGATTTGATTTTGGGTGTTCAAGGGACTATCGTGCATTACTTTCGAGTAAAAGTGTCTGCTGGGAGCGTAAAAAATGTATTACCAGCGAAGCAACGCAAAACGTTTTGTGAGCTCTTCGAGAATTGCTCAAAGTGACATCTCGAGCATTGGTACATTAGGATGTGCATCCGATTACTTCGCATTCAAGCGCGTTAGGCATCTAAAGGAGTCTAGCAAACAACTTTTAAGTGAATTCCACACGTAACACCACTACCGTATTCTCGACCACGTAGCCACTGAATGTTTGTAGTGCAGTCACTTTACGAATCAGAAATCATTATGGTAGCAGACGTTAAAGCACTCTCAACTCAGTCTTTGGCTGGCCTCAGATTGCTGCAAAGCATATAGCTTTGAAGTGAGCAAAGCGTAACACAAGACCTATGCTTGAGACAGCAAACAATCGTTGACCTTCTAACAGTGGCAATTCGCAACTTATGAGTGTCGAGGGATTTCCTTCAGCTTCCAAAAGCTTTCATGTGCATCAGAGCTTCAAAGCTTGACAGTAACGGATAGACTTTATTCTGAGGGAGAGAGAAAGATGTACTGCATGAGCGGCGAGTTGCTGTAATTAAAAATTTAGAATTCAGCACTAACCTGATATCTCAATAGAAAAGGATAATCAATATCGCCTTTGCCTTTTTTTAATCTCGAAAAAGAGCCAGTCTCATGTGAAACTGGTTCCATGTGCACCGCTCAAACGCGCATTATAATGAACAAAAGAATGTAATAACTAATAGTCTCTTATGGCTTATCAGTCCAAAAGCGAAGAAACTGGGAAAAATTGCTCAGCATTCCCCCAATAAACATTACAGGCGCTTATAAGAAAAAACCGAATAAGAGAAAAGCGCTCACTTTGGCAAGCAGCCATTATCTCTCCCCCTTCCTTCCCGATGTTTACTTTCACACTGCTGTATTGCACCTTGAGATCTTCCCATTATTTGGAAGGACGCTGCTATATTGCTGTGTTGGCTCGACGAACACACACACATAATCCAATTACCAGATGCGTGATGCAACCTAGCAGCACATATAATGTACTCGTGGTCAAGTCGTGGCTGAGCGAATTACACATGACAATCTGTCTTATACAATCATCGAGTTCGCCGAAAACGGCTTCTCTGATTCAGTATTGATCTGAGATGAAGTGCGTGCATTTTTTGCAAAGGGCGAGAAGGTGAGGGCGCTGAACAAGAAAAAGGCTTCGAAGGGACACGCAGTAACGAGGAAACTGCGCTCATTGGAAAGCGCTCGATGACGCCTGGGCTGGTGCATGGAGTAGTGCCTGGCTATGTCAGACGTTTAGCACTGGCTAGTGGACGATGTGAGAAACCTCCGTTTCTGTGAGTGGGCACTGTCCCTGGCTGTGCCCTGTGTTGGCCCGCAGACTGATTTATGCCGTCCCCTGGGCGCGCGTTCGGATGGCGCCGCCCACCCGAGCGCCAGTCTTGCTATTACTTGCTCTACTATTTGTACTTGCTAAAAGCCGTTTCCCACCCCAGAGTGGTTCGAGCGGCGCCTGGAGACACGAGCAGAGTTCATTACCTGCTGACGGTGTGCTGTTGTTCGACTGCCTTCATTTTACGGCCAAGCGCTATTGCGTGTGCGAGCATAAGTCCAGTGTTTGATTGCCGACTTGATGTTGCGGGCCGCCGAGTAGTTGTCGTGTGGGCCCTATGGTCCCATCCCCATGTCCCTATCATCGAGCACCTTTGCGCAATTTGCCCCTATCCGGAGGTCACCACTGCCTTCAACGCATTCGCTTGCTGCATTAACCAACAATAATCATCTCAACAACAATTCGCTGGTCAGTTCTTCGCTTGAGCCAGTGATAGAAACCACACCGCTCACAAACGGAGGACCGAAGCTAAAAAAGGCCACTGTACCCGTACCAGATCCGCGTCGACCAATATTCAGAGAGCAGCCCGTACCTCGCGTGCTACCTGCCAATAGCGAATACATCGTAAGTCTTTTTTGCAGTTCGTTGTGAGAGTAGCAGTGAGTGCCATTTCTTCCTGTACTCAAACATTTGATTAGAAAAGATGGTTGCTGCTAGATTGTATCGTAAATCGCAGGTTTCAATTGCATGTAATGAACATTTCCCCCATATCGATTCACCTTTGCTCTCTCACCGTCGCCTTTTTGCCTCTCTGTCTTCGCTTTTGTTATATGGGCAGCAACTCGATACTAATCTACTTAACAGAGCTCGACGGTTTAGACTGTAGCTATCATTCAAACTGCTATTATAAGCTAAAGAGCTAAAATGTCGCCTTTCTCGAATAAGGCAGTCCTGGCCTCGTTTTTCACTACACGTTGAGTTTCTTCAGCTGCGGCTAATTGCTGGCCGGCTTCGAATATGCAAATTGTGGGCGAAACTTGGGCAAAACTCTTTCCTCGGCAATTGCACCGTATATCAATGGATAAATGTTGCAAAGCTAAAATTCAAATAAAGATTCAGCGCTTTCAAGAACATCTGTCTCGGTCAGCTATACTAACGTCAGTTTCTTTCCCTTATCGGCGCATTCTGTCGAAAATGCTTGCTTTGCGGCTCATGTTTCAGTATTTTGAAATGTTGTGCACCATATCGAATGACGGCACTCTCTGTCTAAATGAAGCTGCGAGGTTTGTATGAATGCAGTGAAGTTCTTTAGCTGCTTGTTGAATCAGCGATGTTCTACCAACATAAACTAGTGCCAGTAGCGGCTGCTAGGGACAAACAGCAATGCTTGCAGTTTACATTAAATGTGCGCAAGATGTGTATGTACATCCAAGCGTGCATCGCTTACCGTTTGTGTCTAAGTGTGTGCGTGTGTATTATGTGCATGTGTGTGTGTGTGAAAGAGAGCATTTCTTCAGCTGCGTTATGACCAAAACAAATTCAGATACTGGCGATGCAGTAGCTGTAAATAACGGAATGAGGTGGATGTGATGAGAGAAATATTTTCCTACCTGAGGGTACCCGTCCCTCACTACCAAGCAAGCGATTACGATTTCAATTCTTTCTATCCTCCCGCCATTCTCAGAGGTGCGCAGCCAGATGTTATATGTCCTTGTTGCTACATTATGCGCTGTCACAAATTGGATTAAGTCCGTTAGTCGCATAATTAATGTTCACACTCCAAAGCAGGAAGGCATCTCAAACGGAAAGCGCTTGCGTCTATGAACTAACCAAAGGGCATTTCCACGACATCATGCGTTTACTGACGATATTGATGGCGGACTTCCTTTGCTTTCGCTTCAAAAACTATCTCGCAGTTCATGGTCGTGGTGACTATGTAGATCTGAGTTGTGCGCCATACAACAGTGTCTAGAGCTTGAGGAGCTTTGTGCAATTGCACGTTGACAGATGACTGAGTTTTAGGCTGTCGGCATCGTGACGTAAGTGCTTAAGGTGCACTTTCCCTAGGTGAATGGGTTATGCGATAATAAGCGGACAAGTAATAGACTCCCGAGGGGGGGTTTATAAATCTTCGGTTAGAGCAGGGTTTTGGCGGATGTTAAATCGTAATACTGTTCTAGTTAGTCTAGCCAGGGAAATGTAATATTGCATGGCAAAAAACGATTTGCTTCCTAAGAAATCAGTGGAATGGTATTTCAACAAGAGAGACTACGCGCAATGGATTCATTCTTTCGAAGAAGACAGCGCAGAAACTCAACTTACAAGGTGTCTTGGAAGTATGTGTACACTGTTTGATTGTAAATAACTCTCGTACCTCGAGATCTTTAGCGGATAATAGAAATAAGAATAGGTATCATTGTAAAGCTGGCTTTACCTTAGATTCACAATTTGGATTAAATTACCAGTCGCTTTTTGTTACTATAGAATTACAGTACGAAATGGACAGAGTTTCAAGCTTCTGTCACCCGAATTTTATTCCACAAAAAACCAGACAAGCTAAAAACCATTGCGCTAGGTTAGTCAAAGCCGCAATATGAAATCTCGCCTCTATCGTAAAGCCTCCTTACAGGTTATATTGAACCTAAAAAGTTTTCCATGTTCCGTGAAAATACGACTAAAACTGTTAACTAATGAAAGCAGAGTGCGTGAGAACAATGCCGCACTTTTTCTTTATACGATTTTTTTATAAATACCTTCGAAAAGACTTGATCCGCCATGTCACTTCATACTGGAAGTTCCTCTAGTACAACGATAGCGAAAAACGATCGATGATTACTGTGAATGGATTATGGTGTAAATCTAATTTAAGGAATGCCAGCTCTACAGAACAACCATATTTCCTGAAGGCATCATCGCAAAAGAATTTTTCATAATCAGACATTGTTGACCTGCTTTTGAAACACTTGCGTAGAACCTTTAGGGCAAGAGAAGAATATATTCGTTATAGTTGTGCTTTCCCAAGAACTATTCAGAAGATTCTACTGTGGCACTTTACCGATACTGACTTTGTCAACTCTTGAATTCTTCCATAGATGATCTTATGTGCAGTATCTGAGCAGTCATTTTGAACACATAAATCGCATCTCTGAGTGCTTTTTTTATGCTGTCATAGTAACAAGCGCTTCATTTTGACTGGCTATGCACAAACTTTGTCAAACAATAGGGAATAGGTTTGAAGGACTTGCTTGTTTTGCTCCTCATAGGAGGGAGTTTATATGTGAGCAGTCTTGAAACCTCTTCCTCATTGATGTTGTTTTCATATCGCTAAGCTCAGTCCAATGGCGCATTTACCTAAAAAGGTGGAAACAAATTGCTCTCAAGCTGTTGAAGGAATCCGACTTGCGCAATTCCAAAGTGAAAAAAAAGATGCTGTAGCTTTCGGTGAAAATCGCTAAGGAAATTCTTACGAATACGTTGCATCCAAAGTGATGCCCTCAAATTGGTGAACGTCTTCTGCTGGAATGATCTTCCCTCAGATAAGCTAGAGCGCTCATCTACTACTCCCAGCGGACTCATCAAACGTCAAAATAACGGGCTGGGAGTCAACAGCACTCCTAGGCTTGTGTGCAAGTTTCCACCTGCTTGAACAACATTACGTCGCACTTTGTCGCCTGGCGAAGTGGACAAAGTGCGAAGTGAAACAAGTAGCAATTTTTGATATTGTTCAGCCTAGCAAGAGGCATCCGGAGATTAATTTTGTGCACGTGTCCACTCAACCGTGAAACGGCACTTTGAGTTCCTTCTTTCTCTCCTCGCCGTCTCAATAGCTAACCAAATACGATTTGACAAAGTGGTAGAAGAGCAGCAGTTACCTCCAGAAAAACTTGCTCATTGTTATTAAGTGCTTAGCTTAGAGAAACTGAGTATTAAATTATCGCTATTGTGGATGTACTACCAAGAATTCGCTAGTTTTTTGGGTGTTTTCCTACATAAATTGCTGAATGTTTCTTACGAATTGTTCTCGCAGAAACTGCTAATCTGCTCAAAAACAAATGTCTAGAAACAAGTTTGTTAAGATGTGACTAATCAACCATATATTCACTACCCTCTAGCATTTTGTATTTACTAGCGGTGAATCGCTATGAGGCTCTCTTATCGTTGCACTCCATTTCCAAAAAAAAATCTGGATACCACAACAGCTACGAGCGCAAACATTCTCCGAAATTGATGTATTTATCACTCTACCCAATTTTGGAGTCGACAGTGCGTAAAGAGTTGTATCGTAAATGGTCCTTCTAGCAGCTCGATTAAAACCGTATGTATAAGTTACTTTAATGAAGCTGTAAGTGCACGTGATACTGTGTGCGCGCTGCGAGCACTGTTGGTAGTATTACTTTCCTAATGAGAGTATACATGAAGAGTGTGTCATAACCGTGAAAGCCCATTCTTTTCGCTCGCAGCTGAATGTAGAAACGCAGTTTTTGTTACCAGAACTCGCAATTACATATACTGGGGACCATGGAGATTTAGCTCAATGTTTGCAAGGGATGAGTTTCCCTAAAGGCTTAGCCATGGGGGGGGGGGACAGTTTGAAAAGCCATTAAACTTGAAAAACTGCAAAGAGTGCAATGCTTATCATTTGATTACCTGAACAAAGATCTGAACGTGTTGTCACCGAAAACATTAGTATTCGATGCGGTTTGCTCACTATCACGACTTCTCCAACTTTTGCTAATGGCATTCTCAATCTTAGTTCCCACAAATATCGTTTACCCACGCTGAGCAATACGAAAAGAAGCCTCTTTCCAGCTAATGTAAACTATACATAACGAATTTGGAGCCGTAGCAATAAGGAGTGGGACTTTTTGATAGTCACAAAGACTGGCCAAACAATGGAAAATTGTGGCACTGCACAAAGCAACGCGCGCACCAAATTGTTGGCTGAAATTTGCGGCAGGAGTGGTCCGTCAGAGAATGTTTCAATACATTTGCTCTCTTACCAAGTGTGCACTGCCTTTCATGTAAGTGCTAAAGCTTCTGGAGTCGGCTCATGTGGACACATGATTCTGGCAGTGATTCACAGGAGGATCAATCTTCCGAATCACTATCAAGCAGCGTAAGTTCTTGAATCTATCGAAATTCTGTTCGCGACGGCTTCATCTTAGTTTGCAGCGTTTCTGCGCATTTGGTGATGTCATGCAAATTATTCTAAGTAATACATGCATATGCTTGATAACATGGGCCTTGTCGTCGTAAACAAGAGTCGTGGGATTCGTACAATCTGTAAGCAATTCCACCGGAAGGAATTTGATTTTGCTCATGATTCGCCTAACTGAAGTTTTTTTTCTTATTTATTGTGACGTTCGCTGATTCTCGATCATTTGCAAACACATTTACTAACAGCATATCCTTACCTTCACACATTCGCTCGTAAAATGTCAGATAATATCAGAAATTCTGCAATTTCCGCAGTCTACAACGAATATGCCAGATATTTTTTTTTTCAGGTATCATTCTGCCTGAAAGTAAAGTCGTATTCATGGACTTTTGGTTATTTTTTTCCCATTTGGCTCTGACTAAGATTTACAGTACAGAGTTAATCATCTCCTTGCTAATGTAGAAAA